GGGAAGGAGGAAAGAGGGAGCGAAGGAAGGAGGGAAAGAAGGAGAGAAAGAGGGAGGGAAAGTTGGCCACAGCAATGCGTGGCGGGTACAGCTAGTAGTACTATATCATTAAATGTACTAGCCTCTTGTACAAAGTATACTTCAAGCAATTCTCTAAACCAAACTTCTTCCGTGATGGCTTCAGAAAACTTCTTCATCGTTGGCAGAAATGTATCCGATTGTCTGGTGATTATGTGGGAAAGTGAATCGTGGTCGTTCAAGAGCACATTCTAAGGATTTATTTCTGTGTTTGGTTTATTAAAATATTCCCATCCACACCCAAGTAACGAAGGTGGAGGCATTACTTTTCATTCAACCCTGGTATCTCTCTCTCTGTTGCAGAAACTGGCCTGGGAGCAAGAGGACCCTGCCGACCGCAAGCTGAGCTTCCTCCCGCAGCGCCACGACTGCCTCCGCCGCGTGCCGGCCTTCCCCCGCTTCATCCACGAACGCTTTGAGCGCTGCCTCGACCTCTACCTGTGTCCGCGCCAGAGGAAGATGCGGGTAGGCCGCCGTGCCTTGGCACTCTCCTCCTTATGCGTTTGGGGGGGGGGAGGTCATGTGTGGGGGGCTTTCAAGCCCTCCTTACCTGTGTAGGTACCTCTGCCATCTTTGACGGAGTCGGGGTTGGCTTTGTCAATCTATTTAGCACAATTTATATCTCATAATTGAGTATCTATGCTGTGTTTGGAAAAACATATTGATGGCAGCCCTCTGTGAGTCCCCAGTAGTGCAGCAGGTTAAACCGCTGAGCTGCTGAACTTGCTGACCACAAGGTCGGCGGTTCAAATCCAGCTTCCGCCAACCTAGCAGTTTGAAAACATGCAAATGTGAGTAGATCAATAGGTACCGCTGTGGTGGGAAGGTAACGGCGCTCCATGCATCGTGCTGGCCACATGACCTTGGAGGTGTCTGCGGACAACACAGGCTCTTCAGCTTAAAAATGTCAGATACGGCTAAACTTAATGTCAAGGGGAAACCTTTACCTTTATGTAGCAACCCTCAAAATATCTTAATATGGGATGTTATGTGGTTTCCAGGCTGCATGGCCTATGTCAGTGGTTCTCCACCTGGGGTTCCCAGATGTTTTTGACCTACAACTCCCAGAAATCCCAGCCAGTTTACGAACTGTTAGGATTTCTGGGAGTTGAAGGCCAAAAACATCTGGGGACCCCAGGTTGAGAACCACTGGCCTATGTGTTCTAGTAGCATTTTCTCCTGAAAATTCACCTGCATCTGTGGCTGGTGTCTTTAGGTGGTCTTCTGAAGATGCAAGCCACAGATGCAGGCAAAACGTCAGGAGAAAATGCTACTAGAACGCATAGGGTGTGCAGCCTGGAGATTCCAGCCGTGAAAACCTCAGATAATATATATCTTGATGTGTTTACGGACTGAGAGTGGAGATACTGGCTTCAGACTTGTCTCTTTGCTGTATTGGGTCCTCCTTGGGAGATAGGGTGCAATACAAATAATAATAATAATGAGAATAATAATAATAATAAGGCGGCTTGGGAGATAGAATGCAGTGCAAATTGTATTATTATTATTATTATTATTATATGGCTTGGGAGATAGAATGAAATACAATTATTATTATTATTATTATTATTATTATTATTATTATTTGGCTTGGGAGATAGAATGCAATACAAATAGTATTATTATTATTATTATTATTATTATTATTATTATATGGCTTGGGAGATAGAATGCAATACAATTATTATTATTATTATTATTATTATTATTATTATTATATGGCTTGGGAGATAGAATGCAATACAATTATTATTATTATTATTATTATTATTATTATTATTATTTGGCTTGGGAGATAGAATGCAATACAAATAGTATTATTATTATTATTATTATTATTATTATATGGCTTGGGAGATAGAATGCAATACAATTATTATTATTATTATTATTATTATTATTATTATTATTATTATTATAATACAATTATTATTATTATTATTATTATTATTATTATTATTATTTGGCTTGGGAGATAGAATGCAATACAAATAGTATTATTATTATTATTATTATTATTATTATTATATGGCTTGGGAGATAGAACGCAATACAATTATTATTATTATTATTATTATTATTATTATTTGGCTTGGGAGATAGAATGCAATACAAATAGTATTATTATTATTATTATTATTATTATTATTATATGGCTTGGGAGATAGAATGCAATACAATTATTATTATTATTATTATTATTATTATTATTATTATTATTTGGCTTGGGAGATAGAATGCAATACAAATAGTATTATTATTATTATTATTATTATTACTATTATTATATTGGTTTGAGATCCTTATGTAAACAATTTGCAAAAACTGCAGCAGCCATTGTACTGTCTCTTCATCAACATTAGCATCCTTAGAACTACAACATTGTCCAGTGGTGGCAATTTCTGGTTTCGGAAAGAGAGAGAGAGAACAGCAAAGGCAGCCTCTGTGATGGAGAGCCATCAGGACTTCCTCCTTCCTTTTGGTTGCTCAGCATTTTCCGGTATTTCTTTATGGCGTTGTGAAATTCCTCCCCCGCTTTTTAGCGGTACCTAATTTCTCTAATTACAGCTAAAGCTGTTTTCGAACTGCTTAGGTCAACAGTAAGCTGGGCTGACAGTCGGCAGCTCACACCAACCCAGGGCTTCGAATTTATCAACTTTGCTAAATCCTGAGCCAATGCCTGTCTCTTTGATCTATTTGGTCTGAAATCCTTACGTAAGCCATTTTAGGGATGCTAATATCACTTCATCATTAGCATCCCTTGAACTACAACATTCTCCAATGGTGGCAATTTCTGGTTTTGCAAAGAGAGAGAGAATAGCAAAGATAGGCTGGCTGGTAGCGAGAGTCCTTTGCATGTGCTTCTTCGCCTGTCCGTTCATGGTTCTTCTCTCTTCCAGGTCAACGTGGATCCTGAGGACTTGATCCCCAAGCTGCCGAAACCCCGGGACCTGCAGCCATTCCCCACCGTCCAGGCCTTGGTGAGTCTCCTGTGGGGCGGCAGGAATCGCCCCCCCCCCGATCTTGGAGTGCATCTTCTTTCCTTCCCCATATCACCCTCCCATCTTAGAGTCTGCTAGAATTGTGCCCCCCACTCCCCTTTGGCGCATGTCTAACCCCCCTCTGTCTCCCCTCCAGGTCTACCGGGGCCACTCCAGCCTCGTGCGCTGCATCAGCATCTCCCCCAGCGGACAGTGGCTGGTGTCAGGTGAGCCCCTCAAACCCAGTGTTGGGGTCCGCAGAACCGCGTGGGGCGTGGGGCGTGAAGAGGGGTGCAGGTATTGCAGAGTGGTGCTCCTGGCCAGACTGGGAGGTGTCCAAAGGGCACAGGGAGGGAGCATGGGCACCTCTTTCGCCTCGAGGCTGAGACCGCGGCTCTTGCGCAGGTTCTGACGACGGCACCGTGAAGTTCTGGGAGGTGTGCACGGCCCGGTGCATGAAGACCCTCCCCGTGGGAGGTTGCGTGAAGAGCGTGGCCTGGAACCCCAACCCCACCCTCTGCCTGGTGGCCGTCGCCGTGTGAGTCTCTTATTGCAATTTCAGTGTGAGATGACGGTATATCAGAGCAACATTTACACAACATTAGACCCATAGATTCTATATAATCACATTGGATGTTCAAACAAATTACAGCTTCATTGGCTAACAAACAAACGAGAGGAGATTCCATCTGAACATGAGGAAGAACTTCCTGATTGTGAGAGCCGTTCAGCAGTGGAACTCTCTGCCCCGGAGTGTGGTGGAGGCTCCTTCTTTGGAGGCTTTTAAACAGAGGCTGGATGGCCATCTGTCAGGGGTGATTTGAATGCAATATTCCTGCTTCTTGGCAGAATGGGGTTGGACTGGATGGCCCATGAGGTCTCTTCCAACTGTTTGATTCTATGATTCTATGATTTTGCCATAACTACTCTGCATTCCTTCCATGGAGAAGAGCTTGGCGGGTGGGCCAGACTCCTCTGGTCTGCCACAATTTTGGAATATTAGAAAGTCTCTTATATAGCAATATTTCTACTGATGTTGTTCCAAAGTTGTAAATCAATAATAGGTGTTTTTCCAGCTAAACTCCATCAGTTCCCAACAGATGTTGACTTTTCTTGGTCATCTTTTCTTGGATGGCCATCTGTCAGGGGTGATTTGAATGCAATATTCCTGCTTCTTGGCAGGGGGTTGGACTGGATGGCCCATGAGGTCTCTTCCAACTCTTTGATGCTATGATTTTATGATTCTTAACTGATGCTGGTTTTCCTTTTTAAGGACCACTGTGGTAATGTAAACATGTTGTTTTCCACCAAGTTAATTGAGTCTGTAATCTCATCAGTTAATAATTGTCACAGCTCTCATCAGCAGCTTTTAATTACTTTTGCATCAGTGTAGTTGTTTTCCAGGCTTCGATATTATTATTATTATTATTATTAGAAAGTCTCTTATATAGCAATATTTCTACTGATGTTGTTCCAAAGTTGTAAATCAATAATAGACGTTTTTCCAGCTAAACTCCATCAGTTCCCAACAGATGTTGACTTTCCTTAACTGATACTGGTTTTCCTTCTTAAGGAGCACTGTCTTTGGTAATGTAAACATGTTGTTTTCCACCAAGAGTCAATTGAGTCTGCAATCTCAGCAGTTAATAATTGTCACAGCTCTCATCAGCAACTTTTAATTAGAGTTCCATCAGTGTAGTTTTTTTCCAGGCTTCGATATTATTATTATTATTATTATTATTATTATTATTATTATTATTATTATTATTTTAGAATTGTGCCTTCAGCCCAATTAGGCCCAAGTTATGCTTCTTTCATACCAAATCGACTACAGCTCCATTTTGTGTTACTTACAAAGACTATGTAATATTGGGATGTTGTAGGTTTTTCCGGGCTATATGGCCATGTTCTGGAGGCAATGTTTCTCCTGACGTTTCGCCTGCATCTATGGCAAGCATCCTCAGAGGTATAGACCTCACTACCTCTGAGGATGCTTGCCATAGATGCAGGAGAAACGTCAGGAGAAAAATTGCCTCCAGAACATGGCCATATAGCCCGGAAAAACCTACAACAACCCAGTGATCCCGGCCATGAAAGCCTTCGACAATACGAAGAGGATTTTGCCACACCTTCTCAGCATTCACGCTACACATATAAACATTCATTCATCACATGCATACATCACCATTCTTCCTCCGTCTCCTGGAGAAGAATGCCTTTACTTAGGCCAGATTTCCAATACTTCCCATACACATTCTTTCCCTTCCTCTGAGAAAGAAAGAAGTGACCAGACTCTGCGCTCATTGCAGATCAGCCACGCTCCCTGCAAATACTCCAACTCTCTCCTTCCATGGAGAAGAGCATGGCGGGTGGGCCAGACCCCTCCGGTCTGCCACAATTTTGGAATATTAGACGGTCTCTTATATAGCAATATTTCTGCTCATATTGTTCCAAAGTTGTAAATCAATAATAGATGTTTTTTCAGCTAAACTCCATCAGTTCCGGACAGGTGTTGACTTTCCTTAACTGATACTGGTTTTCCTTCTTAAGGAGCACTGTGGTAATGTAAACATGTTGTTTTCAACCGAGAGTTAATTGAGAAAGAAGCAAGTGACCGGACTCTGCGCTCCATTGCAGATCAGCCACTCTCCCTGCAAATATTCAAACTCTCTCCTTCCATGGAGAAGAGCTTGGCGGATGGACAAGACTCCTCTGGTCTGCCAAAATTTTGGAGTAGTAGAAGGTCTCTTATATAGTGATATTTCTGCTAATGTTGATTCAAAGTTGTAAATCAATGAACTCCTGGCAGTTCCTGGCAGATGTTGACTTTTTCTAAGTGGTTTTCCTTCTTAAGGAACATTGTCTTTGGTAATGTAAACATGTTGTTTCCAGGAAGAGTTAATCGAGTCAGCATTGTCAACAGTTAATCATTGTCACAGCTCTCATCAGCAACTTTTAATTATCATGGAAGAGAAACACTGTGAGGGAAGGGAGGCAGAAAAGAAATGTGTTCTTTGCTCACAATCCCAAAGGGCCTTGAGGTCATCCAGTGGGATGCTTCATACTTGTATGGCCATCTGCCCATGGTCCTTTGCTCAGAGGTGTAATGGGGACAGTAAGGGCTAGAAAGACAATGTAGTCATAATGGAAGGGCCTTCAGAGTGGAGAAGGAAAGGGAACCCCTTGCATCTCCCTGTTCAGCCGCAGTCTGGCCCTGGCTTTTGGAGGGGACTCGGAGAGAGGTGGGAAGCAGCATTAAGAGGACTAAACGCCCTCATGAGGTCTTCTGAGCTTCCATCAGCCCCAGATCTTCATGGGTGTCGAGAGATGAGGGAGAAACGCCTCTTTGGGGAGCTCTTCATCCCTCCTGAGGCCTGGTTTCCATTCATTATCCTCGTAGGGAGCAGTCGGTGCTGCTGGTGAACCCTGGCCTTGGGGACAAGCTGCTCTATGGGGCCACTGACCAGCTGCTGGAGAGCTACGTACCCCCCGAGGAGGAGCGGCCACAGCCGGTCAAGTGGGAGGAGGCCTCCGGAGAGGAGCACCAACGGGGCCTCAGGCTCATCGTTCGGCACGGGAAGGTAATGCTGGCTTATTGGAAATGGCAGACTCCCAAGCCTTTCACTTTTATTAATGTATATATTTGCTAACTTGTATTCTATATATATGTTGATTTGCCTGTGTGACTGACCGCTTTGGTATGGGAGGGGTGTGATGATGTGTATTTTTATTCCTATCGTCATGTATTGTTTAGACAATAGTAATGGTAAGTATGTAGAATTGTATTTTATTAGGGATGGTAACTGGCTTGAGTAAACAGGAAGCAGAACAATGGGCCACTAATTGCTGGCCTGCAGTGCTGGCTAAAAGAATGTAGCCTCGCCCCGCCTCTCAAACAAAGCAACTAATTTTAAACAAAGCAGCTAATTTTAAACCCTTAAACTCTAACAAACTTAAACTTGAACTCTAACAAACTTAAACTCTAACAAAGCAACACTCAAAGCAACTGATTTTAAACACTTACTCAGATTTCTAGTGCCCTTTAAGACAAGGCTTATCCTGAAGCAGAAGGGAACAAGATGGCTTCTTGCTTCCCCAACCTCTGTGGGAGCACACTGACCTTTGAGGCGGGGAATATGGGAGTTGTAGTTCATCCTTATCAAGAGACCACTGAACCCAGCTGAACATGGATCTGGACCAAATTTGGCACACAGACCCAACATGACCAACTGAATACTGGCGGAATTTAGGGAGGACTGACCCACGATTTTGGGAGTTGCCATAGCAACGGGGGCAGAGCCAGCTGCCACTTGGCAGCGCAGCTTTTTGAAAGTTGTCAGTCTGTAGCCGGAGAGTTACAGAAGAGGACTGATCTGTGAATCAGCAGTCTGTAAGCAGAGAGTTACAGGACAGGATTCTCCAGTGAGAGGAACAAGGAACC